AGTTTTTGTCATGCAACAGATGAATGTATGAGTAAGTGCCTTGCGTTTTATCCCCTAGCTGTAGACGAAGAGTAATGGAGATTAAATAAGATTTAAAAAAAAAAAAAACTTTCTGGACGAAGTAGTGATGCTCAATATACAATACTAACAAAACAAAACTGCTAAGGCCTAATCAGTTGCTTCTGAAAACAGAATCGCCGAGTTGGTATTCTTCAAAATAAATGCCAAAATGGGCAGCTGGCTGACCACCAGGATGACCACTCATAGTTTAAATTTACTTCATTGCTATTTATATTTGTGTATGGAAAATTTCCATTCCTTTATTAATTCATTTTTTTGTGCCTGCCTCAGCTGGACATCTATTCGTACAGGTCCATTATTTTTTATCCAATAATTTAAAACATCATAACCCTGGTAATCAAATTAACTCACTTGCTGACGTGCATTTGGATCTTCTGGGAAAAGTAACGGCCCTCCAACTGGCGGACCACCAACAGTTGTTCTTGCATCCTTTTTTTGCATTCCCAGGAACACATCATCGTCCAATCCCATACCTTCAAGAGCGATACGACAGTGCGGGAAAATTAATTGAGTACCTATATTTTTGGCTTTTCTCAAATCGGTATTTTACTACAACAAATCGGAAAAAGGCTTTCTGTGCTATTTAAGTGTGAATAAGGGATGCGATTTGTCACTTTGGACACTACGTCAACAGCGTACACGCATCGGGACGGTTCAGCCGGTAATATATTATTAGATGAAACAGCTCATAATACGGGAAAACACTACCGTCTGACCAGAATTCTAATGTCCCGGATATCAAAAAGTAACCCATTTTTGAGTAAGAGTTTTGGATGCCGAGAAGATCCGAATACTCTTTGAGTTGAATGCTGAATTTCATGAAGATGTGACCCCATTCCAAGTGCGAATCCTGGATGTTAAGGTGGTGTGATCCCTATTTAAGTGAAAATCCTTGACTTCAACAAGATGTGATCAGAAAAAGTTTCTCAGTGCGATTTCTGGGTGGCAAAAAAAAAAATGCGGCTCTTTGCGACTGCAGTTCTGGATATCAAGGAAATGCGGTCCTTTTTTGAGTGAGGTTAACCTTTTGGCAATCTAATTTTCAAGTACCATGGCAGTTGACAAAGTATAACTATTTTGGTCTGGCCTGATATTTTGGCTTGTTTTTTAGCTACTTCCTTAACTCCTCACATGTCTTGGAAGTCACCGAAGAACAGTGTCGGAAACTAGTGCCCTCTTGGTCCAAAGGTTATGCCAAACTTAGAAGATCCGCCTGACAGTAAAAAGAAGCCTTTCATTCATCGTTCGCTTGCACTATTATTATCCTTGTTATTTTTCTGTTTTTTTTTTTTTTTGAATCATAAAAAAATTTAGGTGATATGAGTGCGCAAGAAAGTGTATGAATGGTCCAAATCCCTAGGCACCAGTTTGCTACGTGTCAGCAAGGCCATTTCGAGCTTTCCTCTTTCAACCAGCGCAATGAAACTAAAA